CAGCCCTTATCATTCATATAGTTATCAAGCTTTCTCTTAAACTCACTCAAATGTAATGCCTTCACAACCCCATTCAAAGGCCAACCACCCTGTTACAAAAATAGAAATGTCTTAGCTGAAGATGACTCCTACCCTGCCAAAATTTATATTTATCTCCTGATCCCACCATTCTCATCATCAAGTATGACAAAAGATGATGCATCAACCTTAACAATCCTAAACACCTCAATCAGATTCCCCTCTAACTGATCAAGAGAAAACAATTTCAGAGTTCTTAATCTCTGCTTGTATGACAATCCCTCCATACCAGCCACCATTCAAGTAACCCTCCTCTGAACACAATACTCCAAATTTGGTCTAACCTAGTGACCTATATAATGAAATTATAACCTCTTAAGACTTGTATTTGATACTTCTGTAGATACAACCTAAAATCCTATTTGCCTTATCACTAGCAACAATACAATGCTTAGAATGGCTTAAGAGACTAATCAACCACTACACTAAGATCCTTTTCTTTCATAACACAGTTAAAGTTATTCCCATCCAAATTATGATAACCCACATGCATTATCTCGCATTTATTAAAATTAAAACTAATCTGCCATTTATTTGCTCAACTTACTAAATGATCTAAATCCTTTGTAAAGTGGCAGCAGCATCCTAACAGCCAGTTACACCTAAGACCTTAATATCATCAGCAAATTTAAGTAATTTATTGACCATTCCTTCATCTATGTCATTGATGTGAATTAAAAAGAGCAATGAGCCTTAAGGTACCCCACTTGTACCATTAATCCAGTTTGACTGAACTCCATTTGTAACAACCTTTCACTTTCTTCCATCCTGCCATTTTTCTATCCAATTTGCCAACTTATCCCCCACACATATAGAGCTAAATTTTTTTACAAGCCTTTTATGTGGCACCTTGTCAAATGCTTTCTGAAAATTCAGATACACCAAGTCTACACCCTTACTCTCATCTACATAAGAAGTAACCTTTTCAAAAAATGTTAAAAGATTTATAAGGCAAGATTTTCCTTAGTTAAACTACATTGACTATCCAATAAAATTCTAAACTTTGTTAAATGACTTTGCAAAGCATCTTTTATCAGACTTCCCAAAACTTTTCCCACAACTGACGTAAGACTAATAGGCCTATAATTACTGGGACAATTTTTATCACCTCCCTTGTAAAGAGGAGTAACATTAGCAAACTTCCAATCCTTTGACACCTGCCTCTTATTCAAGGACTTACAAAAAACAGTAGCAAATGGTTCACATATCCAATCCTTAACCTCCTTCAAAACCATTGGGAAAATATTATCTGGCCCAGAAGCCTTATAGTCATTTAAATTTCACAATAAGCTCAGAATTAATGTGATGATCTTGTTTTCATCTATCAAGATGAAGAATATTACTTAAATCTTTATTAGTAAAGAAATGAAGAAAGAAAAAGCATAATTTAATAATCAGATATGGGCCTTCCTTTATCACCCCTTAAAGTCCCTACCCCCATCCTAACATTTTGTTTATTCTTGATGTATTTAAAGAAATTCTTACTGTTAATTTTTGCATTTTCAGCAAACCTTTTTGATACCCTAATTTCCTGATCCTCTAAATTTCCCATCATACAAGTCAATTTTATTTTTTTAAAATCTGTGATGTTTATCTTGAATATTTAATCAGTGTCTCCAAACAATTCAGCTGCCCAATTCACAACATAATTCTTGTTGCATTCCTTCATAAAATGTTTTTGAGATTTGTAACAAAAAATATCATTCTTCCTGATCTCCATATGAAACCTAATAGAGCAATGATCACTTGCACCCAGATGTTCCCCAAGTTCCACCCTCTCAACCATTTCTATATTAGAAGTTAATAAATCTAAAATAGCATTGTTTCTAGTAGGTTCTTTGAATAAAACCATCTTGAACAATTTCAAGAAACCTTTCTCCTTCATGGTTTGACTTTTAACATTTGTTCTATATGTCTGAAATTCAAGTCACCCATATTTATGACCCCATTAACAGCTGAAATCTTAATCTTCCTATAAAGTTTCTTATTACTTTCATCAGGATTATCTAGTGGTCTGTAACAAATTCTCCCTTCATATCTACTAATAGAAATTCAAATGGACTTAATCTCCTTGCTTTTATCTTTGACATCCTCAACTTCAACAGGATTTAACTTGCATTTAACATATAAAGCCACCCCTCCTCTCTTTAGTACTCTATAACTCTGTATTTCAAAGAAATATCTGTCATAAACATTGTCTACATTTAACCATGTTTCAGTTATTCCCATTATATCAAAATCCTCTATTTCATTTCCTATACTTCTGGCATAACAATTAAGTCTACCCTTAGAACTACTTTTATATTTATTTCCTATGCTAAACTGCACATTTTTTTGCATTCCTGGCCCTCACCAATGTCTAGTCCTAGTTTAAAACTTCCCTTACAGCTGAGCTAATAGCCCTAGCAAACAAATCAACCCCTACTCTATTTAAATGTAAACCTTCCATTCCAAAAAACTCACTTCTCCCATTGAACTATTAATTTAAGCCATGACCCTTTTCTTTACATGCCCTTATCAATTAACTCCTCTGGCCTACCTTTCCCTTCATCATTAGCCCTTACACGCACTACCAAAACTGCATCATTACTAGCCCCCTTTATATCTGTCAGTTATATCCCGTGCCTCTGGGAACCATAATCTGGTTCTTTTATCGCATTTACTTGACAGACTATCCTTCTCTGTCCCTTTTGTTTTTCATTCCCTCCAACACTTATTTGCACAAGCTAAGGGTTGAAATATGTTGCTCAATATAACATTTTACAGTTAAATCTACTACCTTTAGCCCTAATAGTACTTTTAAATGTGGATGTGGCTTAATAATTAAAAATGTTATTTAGTTTTTGTTGGTGTCCGAATTACCTGCACTGATAATGATACAACTGTTGGTTAACCATAGGGTAAACTTGAGGAACATTACTTGATATAAGGGTAATTTTATTTCAATATTATAAGTAAACATAAAAATTATAAGGTTAAAAGTGAATCAATGAAATAGTTTAATAAAACTAATAATATATATATATATTTTATTAGATGAAATTGGATTCACTAACCATTTGATAACATTCAACCAAAAGATGTTTTTGTTTCTTATACTCGAAGTTCTGTCATAATCTTTCGTGTCTGAGTAGGCTGTTAAAGTTCCAATGTGAGCATTTTAGCTTTGAAAAACTGCATAATTATCATGTGTGACTTGCAGGACATAAGCAATAATCTTGTACCTTGTCTTGGAGTTTTTATTGGTAACTATTTTTTGTGTCTGTGATTGTGAAATTTACATATCTTTCAATGCTTACAAAAAAAAATATTTAATATATTGTCATATAAATAGAAAACACTGATATACAAATTGTTCGAACTAAAAGCTATCATTACTGACCTTGCACTTTATCACTTTATTAATGAAGTGACATCTAAGTCGTAATCAATAATTAGAATTTAACAGATTGAATTCCCTTAATTTTTACTAGAATGATAAAATGCAATAAATTACATATCACAATGGATATTTAATTGAATGCCATTATAAAACCTTTATACCAAAGGATTTTAAAAAAACTTTCATGAGTTTGAACAATTTGAACTACACTCAAAAGTATAAGTTAAAAAAAACTCTTACAGTAATTTCAGAAACACTCACGTTAATGAGAGTTTCTTCAAATGCTACTTAATTATGGAAAGTGAGAAAAAATTTCATCAATATCTGTGAGTGGTACGTTTTTGGCAGATATTAAAAATATAATATAATCAATTAACTTTTTGATTTCTAAGATAAAAACATCTCATTTTAAGTGAATTTCATGTGAAATCAAGATTGTAATTTTTTAATGCAATTTACCTTCAGAGGGATATGAAAGAAATGCTAATAATTTTGATAAAAATAACTTTAGAAGTAGAACATTACATAAAAAATTTTATATTTCTGCAGCTCGTGAGGTTTTGCCATCATGGGATAAACAAATTCAGAGCCTGTGTTTCCAAGTAAATAATATCATTGAGAAAATCTCCCAAATTGCACCAGAATGGATGAGTCAGACGGTAGAGGAACAAATGGCCCACTGAAATGACAACATCAATTTTTCCTTTGTATATATTTATTTTTCAGCTTTGTTGTAAGTGTATCCCGTACATGTGACAATATTACGTTTCTAATCCTAAACAGCAACTGTATTTTTTTTTAAAGTAATAAACTATGTAGTACTATATTATAGTCTTTGCTAATGAGTTCCAAAACAATAATGTCAGTGCAAATTCACATTTATTCCCTGTAAAACATTGTGTACACCTTATTTCTTGCCAAATAAAATGTTTCTCTTTCTACTTCATAAATTATAACTAGACCAGTGACATTTAACATAAGCTTTTTTGTCTTCTTTTAATGAGAGGTTGCCCTGGCCATCCTTTCATGTTGAATGTCACTAGTTCTTGAGAAAAGTAACCAACAGATTCAAAGTACCAATGCAACAATAACCCTTGCACAATTATTAATGTTTTTGTACAATAAGTGAACAGTTAAAACGTTAATATTACAATAAACCCTAACACATACACTGCAAAAAACATTGTTAATAAATCCTCCATACAGGCAGGCTTGTTTTAACATACATTAAATTTGCCTGGAATATTTTACTACATTTCACTGACTTTAAAGGACAATACTATTGTAAAGAAGTATCAGAAAATATTTACTATTTAAAAAAATGAGAGAGCAATACTTAGACCTCTAGAAACTAAACTAGTAGCAAGAGGATGAAACCTGGATAATGCTGAATAACAAATTTTCCACATGCTATTTGTTCCTCCTCCTCATATTTACAAATGGAAAGTGATGATCTCAAAGTAACAATTACATATCTGCTACACAAAAATTGCTTTCTTATTTACATGATGCTAACTGACAAAAGCTGAATGTAACATCATTTGGAAACCCATATTTACAATGAGTGAGTGAAAAAAAAAAATTAAGAAAATGGTCTGATTTTAGTACATATTTGAAAAAGCTTACATGTAAAGTATTTTCTTCCTGTAATGTCCACTGTTACAACCAGTTAAACATTTTTTTTTCTTATCATCATCGTCTCATTAAGGGGTTGAGGGTCTGAGGGGGAAGTCTCCCATTAAATTGGTATGCGTATGAGTAAATGGCATTCTGTGATCTAGCTTCTTGGAACTGGTGCTGTGGGTGCATATTGACATTTACCATACTCATAGGTAGAGCAGTAGCTTGCAGCTGGTTTGGGTTAATTATGTACCCTGTAGTATTGACCATTGCTGTGGCAGTTGCAGGCGGTGGAGCTTGTTGCATATGGTATCCAACACCATTCAGTGCCTGATAGCTTGCTACAAGTGGTGGATTATGCTGCAGTGGTCGAGGGTGATAAGAGTGATTGTATTTACCAAAGTCATGACTAGGACTGGGAGAAGGAAGGTTAGGGATCATAGGAGTCAGACATCGTTGAGCTGGTGTGGTGATGTTGACTTCAGAAGAAGATAGAGCCATATTAGGAGGTGGTGTCATAGTACTGTTGTAAGTGGGAACAACATCTATAATGTAGCTGGTAAGTTGCTGAAGTTTTGCTAGATTACAAGCTGTATTTCCCTGGATAGTGTTTGAAGCAGTAGTAGCAGACTGCAGTTGAAACCCCACAGGAACAGATGTAGACACAGGAATGTTTGAGTTATTTAGCACAAACTGCTGACCAACATTCCTAGCCAAGCTTTGCTGCTCTGTCTGATGAGAATTAATCATAGCAGCTACTGGGACATTTAACACATAAGAAACTGCTGGGTTTGTGCCTGTTACATTCACCAGGTTTGTGGGGGAAGCTTGTACCAAGACACTAGAAACTGGGGTAGTGCTGACATTCACACTGTTCTGCACCTCTGACACACTTGTACTAGTTGGCTCATGGGTCTTGCTCACCTGTTGCTTCTGTTTAGCAGCATTCTGTTTTTCTAACCGATTAGAGAGAGTAACACTTTTGGAAGATGACTTGCCACTATCAAAGCTTTCAGCATGTTGAAAAAGTTGCTTTCCAGTTGGTGTTGAAACATGCTGTATTTTTTGTGCTGAAGCATCAGAGAAAGTTTGTGAGCTTGTAACAGTTTGAGCAATAAACTCATCAGATTGTATACAGCCATGGTAGGACTGAGTGGTAATGTTTCCAGGTTGTTCAAAGTTGGAGTAAGACTGAGAAGAAGTAACAGGTTGAGTAAGATTTTCTCCAGATTGTAAACAGCCAACGTATGATTGAGATGTAGTAACGGGCTCTACAGAAAGTTCTCCAGATTGTAAACAGCCAACATACGATTGAGATGTGGTTACAGGCTCTACAGAAATTTCTCCAGATTGTAAACAGCCAACATACGATTGAGATGTGGTTACAGGCTCTACAGAATGTTCTCCAGATTGTAAACAGCCAACATAGGATTGAGATGTGGTTTCAGGCTCTACAGAATGTTCTCCAGATTGTAAACAGCCAATATAGGATTGAGATGTGGTTACAGGCTCTACAGAATGTTCTCCAGATTGTAAACAGCCAACATATGACTGAGATGTGGTTACAGGCTCTACAGAAAGTTCTCCAGATTGTAAACAGCCAACATATGATGGAGATGTAGTTACGACCTGGAGACCTTTCTGTAGAGCCTGTAACTATTTCTCAGTCTTTTTCTGGTTGTGAACAACCTATATCCACTTCTCAGTCTTTTCCTGGTGGTGAACAACCTATATCCACTTCTCAGTCTTTACCTGGCGGTGAACAACCTGGAGACTTTACTGTGGAACCTGTAACCACTTCTAAGTCCTACCCTAGCTGTGTACAATCTAGAGAAATTTCCATAGAGCCCGTAACTACATCTCCATCATATGTTGGCTGTTTACAATCTAGAGAAATTTCCATAGAGCCAGTACACAGCCATGAAATGGCTGAGAAGTGTTTACAGACTTAGCACTAACCTCAACCTTACCAGGTTCTACACAACCAGAGTACAACTGAGAACTGGTAACTGGTTGTGTGACAAGTTCTTCCGATTGTACACAACCAGAGTGTGACTGGGACGTTGTAACAGGCTGTACACAGCTAGCATAGGACTGAGAGGTAGTAGCAGGCTGAGAAATTATGTCTGGGTAGCTAGGGTATGACTCTGAAGTAGTTATTTGTTGGGAGGTATGTTCGTTGTTAATGACAGCTGTTGAGGGATCATTATTGAAGGTCTCTTCCACACCTACAGGACTATAATTGCTGCTGCTGGTTGTAGACTGAGAATTATAAATTCCAATACTGGCTATTTCCTGTTGCGATACAATCCATGTTTCAGAACATGACTGTGGCATGATGCTAGACTCACTGGACTGTGGAAAGTTGGGATCAGTGTCTACCAAAGCCTGACCGTCCTGCTGAGCTTTTACACCTGAACATTCCATCTCTGAAATGGTCTGGTCAAATGTATGTGAAGTATTAGTAAATAAAAAGTCTGAAATAGTTTCAGCAGCTTCAAGGTCCTGATTACATTCTTGATTTGCATTCTCTGCTTCTGAAACTGGCTGATCAGAGGTGTGTGATGAGGAAACAAAGAAAGTTGAGGAAGATTCGGAGAAACTTTCGAATCCTGGACCTAAGGTAGCAACAAGTAAAGAATCAGATATATTAGAATTTGATATTGTTTTGTCAGGATTAGAAGTCATCCAGGAATGTGAAGTTGGAGAAAGTGATGCACTGATGTTTGATAAAGGTTCCATATTGTTGCTAGCAACTTCTGTTGTAGCTAATGAAGAATTCAACACCTGTTCAATTTCATCTGTTGTATTTTGGGTAGAACAACTATCACCAGTTTCATTTACATCCCCTAAGACTATCCTTGGTTGAAGAGAGAAAACCAGCTTTGTGTCAGATTGAATGGTGTCTTGATTTGTTTCTTGATCCAAGTTAATTTTGAGTTTATCCTTCCCGTGAAGTTTTGTAGCAACACTTTCGAAGCCAAGCTTCAGTGATTCTTGGAAAAATGCAGGTTCTACAGCAGGATATCCAAATTCTGTTTTCTTAGTCTCAAGTACTGTTAAGTTGGATTTTTCAGGAAGTTCAGGAGAGGATATTTTAGGTATTTCTTTATTTTTCTGATTTTCTGTTTCATTGTCAGCTATTTCTGTTTCATTACTATCCAGTCTGACCATTTGATCATTATCTTGACTATTTTTGTTCTCTTCACTACTGTTGTGATTATTTCCCATACTGCTTATATCAGTAAGGCTTTCATGGCTTTTCACCTTAGTTATTTCATCTGCATCCATATCATGACTTACTTCACTTTCTTTTTTCTTATTTTCCGTTATTATGTTGCACACCTAGTAAAAAAACAAAAAACAGGAAAATCTTCTATTATAGGTGAAACTATATACAAATTTGAATCTAAAATGAAACAATTTCTTTTGATGCCAAATCAAACACACAAAATTAACATGGTTTTAATAGTACTCTACAGATATAAGGATTCATTTCAATTACTAGTACTTTTGACTTTTACTTGTATGTATTTAATTTTACTTTTTGATGTTACATTGAAAGTAATTTTGGGTAGTGTTAAAATAACCCCCTTTTCTCCCCACTTAAAACTTAGTTAATACATGTACAGATATGTCGCATAGCAAAAACAAGCTCAAGATAACTCATCTGAAGTTAGATGATTGATTTAAAACAATCAATAAAAGAAATACAGCAAAGATAATTATGGAAAAATTAGTGTGTACTGCATGCAAGATACACAAACTCCTCACAATGAGTCATCCATGCCAGACTATTGTTTGTTGTACCATTTCATCAAGTGATAGTGGAAAGACCAATTCTGTTATCTCTCTTCAAAACCAAAGTACAATTGTTAGATTAGTAACAGACAAACATAACCGAGGTAAGGACCTTTATACTGCTGTGTTCAGTATAACAGACAATAATGAATTAAAAGCACTAAAATTTGTAGTACAATTCACAAAGTTCCTTTAGACTTTAGTTCATTCTGTGCAATGAACTTCAGTACATTCTAAATACTTTAGTAATTATTAGAAACCAATATAATAGAAATCATTATGGAATGGGATAAAAAATTATGAAAAAGTAGTAGTAGTAATCTCACCTCTTGTACTCTTTTATGACTTGATTTTCTTCTTAACCCTTTTGGCCATCCTCGCCTTTTCCTGCCCCAAAATTTATGGGAATGAGAAGAAGCCACAACAGATGCTTGTAGCACAGGTGGAGCAGGATCTGCTTCCCGTGGCAAGTCCTTCTCATGAAGAGATGATACATTTTCAGCTTCCATGGGTATGGCTGGTGTTAGAACTGGTGGAGCTGATCCATTCTCAGTCTCTTCTGTAGTGCCACACTCCACATCTAGCTGAGAAGCAGAATCTGTAAAGTTATCAAATGTGGTATCTAGAGAACCACAGGGTTTCTTCTTCTTATGTCTACCATTCTTTTTTCTGTTTGAGCTTTCAATCTTCATTTGTCTTTTCTCCAGTTTATCTGAAGTGAAGAAAAAATGATTAATTATTTAAGTAAATTGATATATGCTTCAAGCACTTTTAATTTTTATACTGTAGCTGTGCACATAGCTACAAATGAAACTCTCATATATTTGAAACTACACAAACTTCATAACTGTAAACTTTCCCAGCACAAACTATTATATAGGCTATTAGTTCTCAAGCTTTTTGTTCTGCAGACCAGAGAATAAATTGAGGAATTTAATCTTTATCTCCAGAACTATATAAAGAAAAGTTTAGACCTTTTCCACATAAGATATTCTCTATGTAAATGTCATAATACACATCCACCTGCTTCTCTCAAATTTTAGGCTTATTATACAATCTTATGTGTAACTTCCATTCCATTGTTATATAACCTTTCTGGGGACAGCAGATATATATATATACATATATAAACATATTATAGAGATTCACTACGAATTTTGACTGTAAATATAAAAATACAACAACGCTCATACTTAACATGTACTATTATTTTATTGACTTCTGATAATAAAAAAGTCTACCTTTTTTGTACACAGACGATCCTTTCAACAACCCAACTTTGGTTTTTTTATTCCTCTTTTTCTTCACTTTACAGGTCCCATTATTTCTACCTTCACTGTGAACATTCCTGTTGGTATTTTCTAAATGTCCAGTCTTCAGTTTCTTCTTCTTTGGTTCTGTTTCTTCACCAGAGTCCACAGAATGTTTTGGTAATTCAAGATGCCCTTTCTTATGTTTTCGTTTATGTTTAAGTAATTGCTTTTGTTTAACTTTGTTCTGCTTCTTATGTGGACTGAACAGGTTTTTTAAACTGCCAGCACAGGATGAATTTTCCAAATCGTCATGTTCTTCTCTTTTCCATAATGTTGCATTTTCTTCATTCTTTTTTTAAAATAAGAATTAGTTAAAACTCAAACAGCAACAACATATATATTTCACAAATACTAAATCAAATAAGTAGAATTTCTTAAAAGTTTTTGGAACTTTCACAGATTTTTTTCACCACAAATACAGGTAATATCAAACCATACACATTTATGATGTCAATGAAATTCAACAAAACTTTATTACAAAGAGTGGGCTTAAAGTGGATCTATAACCCTACAGTGATCTTATGTTAGGAATCTACAGTCCAAAACTATTTATTATAACTTAAAACTTTTATATTCAAGTAACTTTTATAGATAGCTAGCTTCAGAATCCACAAATTCCTTAAATATAAATTAGAAGACAGGAGAATAAAATTTCACAAAAAAAAAGATAAAAATTAAGAATAATTAATGATATAAGTAAAAATCACACTTAAATTTTTTGGTGCTGTTGGGTAATATTCCTCCAAGCACGTTTGTGCAGGACAAAAATATTTTAAACCTAGTATTCTGCCTTTTGGTCCTTTATATGTGCTTGTATCATTTCTTTTTTTTAAGAATACAAAAGTCATACTGAAAAATGTAAGATACCCCAGGGTTCAGGCAAGGCCATCCGTAATTTAGAACTGCTAACCAAAGAAAGCACAACCTGTCAGCAATAACCACTACCTATGTAGCTAATGTCAGCAAAGAATGGGATAAGCTCTCACAGTTATAGTTCAGAGTGTAAGATATTTTAAGTAGCACACAGGTTCACAATCTTTGAAAACCCTAAGTGCAGTATTTGCACTATATTTTGTATGAAAAGTCCAAAATAAATCAAATGTCTGACTATATTTACACTATCTGCCTGGTCATCATTTATTGCGCATGTCACAAGGTTTTAGTGGCTTACATTCAAAAGTTTATTAAACTACTTTTTGTTAATGTTATACCAACTAGTATAGGATAAAATCATAGCCAATAATCCATATTTTAATAGTATACAAGTTTTAAGTTCTTAATTTTATAAGGCAATATTTAAAAAAATTCTTAATTTATCCTAGTGTGTGAAAGGTTACAAATTTCTGTAGGCATCCCATCTCTATTTTATTCACCACTACTCCAATAAGTACAAAATTCAAAATAAATTACTCAATATAAGACAAACCATAATTTTTTATAAGTTTCAAGTTTATTTCGTTAAGAGCCATCAAATAGAAAATCAGACCCCTCTTGCTACACCCACCAGTCACAT